AAACAAACTTGTTTCTCCAGGGACAGGAAGGGCAAGCCACAGACATACAGACACAGACATATAAAACCATGACAGGGACTTACAGGGGATGCACAGTTGATGTACAGCTGATGCAAATCCCACATTTACAGTGAGGGACATTAAGCCTACAGAAAAAAACTTTTGGTGAAAAATTAGCAATTTCAGGCATCTTGAGTTGCATGAAATTGTCTGTCCCAACTGGCACATGACATGACTACTCCCACCGGAGCACTGGGACTCTTCTCAACACCCCAGTCGTTGCCTCCTTCACTCACAGTCCCCAGGAACAGCCACATTTGGCCTGTAAAGAATCCATGGATTGTACAGGCAGGAGAGAGAAAGGATGTGTTGTCCCTTCCCAGGACTGGAACCTGGGAAAACACCCCAGAAACCTTTCCCGGCCCTGGCCAAGACAGGGATAAGCACAGTGCAAAGTCTTTTTTCCACTTTATTTTCCACCATCCCCAGATCCCACGGGACAGAACCAACCTTTGGCATAGTCTCCTACCACAGGCCAAGCCAGATTAAACACACACCTTTCAGCCCAAGACAAAGATCTTTGAGGCAAGATCGTGGAAAGAAAAAATAAAAAACCCAAACAAAAATTAAGGAGAGCTGTCGTGATTCATTTGCATATTTGAATATGCAAATAAGATCTGTTTCTTATCCATTGGCACTGGCCCTACTGTAGATGGCAGCAGCACAGCGGATCTCTGCCAGCATCCAGTGCCACAAAGAAAGACGCTAATTGGATTTGCAGACGCTTATTGCAAAGCCCAGAAGTTGCTGGAATGGGTATAAAGAACCAGGAGCTCAGCCCACGGCTGCCTCGGGTGCGAAGGCACTCAGCTGACAGCTCGTTAGCTTGAGATCTCCCTGCAAAATTAGAAGCTGGGAGAAGCCTGGATGGCTGCTGGCTCCAGCATCCCCAGCACCCAAAACTCCTAACACACCCCCCTAGAGCCTGGCAAATTTTCTGCCCTTGGCTGTGATTTTTTCTTTTTGAGGGGAGCTTGAAAAGAAAATCAGGGGTAAGTTTGATCAGTCATTGTGCTGGAAACTGTTCAGGCTGGGAACTGCTAGTGGAGCAAAGGCTGGTTCTAGGAATTTCTCTCCTTGAGTGTTTTCGCAGTTGAATGTAAAGAGCTACCCCAGCACATTTTAAATTAATCCATTCATGCCACTTCACAGAATATCCTGAGTTGGAAGGGATCCACGAGGATCAGCAAAGTCCAACTCCAAACTGTTTGTCCCAGCAGAGAGCCCTGGGGCGTTTGGAGCAGGCAACAATACAATGAGGTGCTTACCCTGAACGGGGCACCCCAAATTCTCCAGTATAATGTGGTTTAATGTCCTTGTATTGGGCTGCCAATGTGGAAGCTGAAGCTCCTGGCTCTGGATTTCCATCTTGGAGGCATCCAAATTCTTGCTTGGATCCCTCCCCAGGCCGTGGAGCAGCTGAAAGCTGAAAGAGTGACCCATGTCCAAACCAGAAGCAAAGACGGGTCCTGCACTGGGAGAGCCCAAAAACAACCATTAACACCAGGCTGGGCAAAAAACAAAGGCATGGAAAATTTGTCATTGGTGAAAATTAAAATAAAAAGCTGATTTAATGATGTTGCAGAAAAAGTAACAGGCAATTTTTCAGGAAAAAAGCTCATGATCTGGTGTGTCTCTTGCACAAGGAGGAAATTCAGCAGAGTGAGAGTGGAGTCAAAGTTGGGAAAGACGGAGATATTTCCAGAAAATATTCAGCCCTGGGAGCACATAACCACCAAGGGCTGTGATGAGGCTGGGAGTGAATAGCCAGGATTGGGAGGTAGAAAATAAAAGATTTAGACCCAAGAGTCACGTGCATGGGAATAATGTCCACAATTAAAGATATCAATGAGAACTCCCAGAGAAAGAGGCCCTGTCTCAATGGAGAAGAAAAGCGACTGTCCAAGGAGATGTCTCTTGGGACTGCATCAGACAGAAACATGGAAAATTAAAACAGGAGCACTTAAAGGAACCCAAATCAGGCTCTTTTTTGTTGTTGTTGTTGTTAACTGAAGCGATTAAGCATTTTGCTTGGCTAATATCCTCTATCAGGTTGATGAGGTAAAGTGGCTCTTTAGAACGATTTGGGAGCCGATTAATCCTCGCCTGTGGCGATCAGGCAGTGACACACAGAGTTATTGGCTAACACGGGGGTTTTCTGCTGCCTCACACAGATCAACAAACTGTCTGAAACAAGAAAGTTGTGTGAAGGAAAAGAAATTCTGAGTGAACTTGCTCGGAAACAGTCACCAATTGCACTTGTAAAGATAGTCCCATTTAGGGCTGGCAAAATTGAGCCCAATAACTTGTCACTTAGAGATGTAAGAAAAGGTAAAACTCTCCGCGGGCGGGAGAGCGGCAAAGGGGGAGAGAGGGGGGAGAGGGGAAAGGCGGGAAGGGGAAGGGAACTGAGGGGGGATGAGGGGAACGGAGGGACAAAGGGGAGAAAGGAGGGAAATGAAGGGGAAATGGGAACCAAGAGGAAATGTGAGAGACTGAAGGGAAAAATGAGGGGAATGAGGGAAACTGAGGGAGACTGAGAGGAAAAAATGAGAGAAACTGAGGGGAGAGATGAGAGAGACCAAGGGGGAGGTATGGGAGACTAAGGGGAGAATGGAAACTGAGAGGAAATGAGGGAGACTGAGGAGAAAAAGGAGAGAAAATGAGAGATAAAGGAAACAGAGAGGGAAAATGTGGGAGACTGAGGGGGAAAATCAGGGAAATGAGGAGGAAATGAGGGAGACCAAGGAGAAAGTGTTGGAGGCAGGGGAAAAGGAGAGAAACAGAAGGAAAAGAGGGAGACTGAGGGAAAATGAGGAAGGCCAAAGGTAAAAGGAAAGAAACTGAGGGAAATAAGGGAGACTCAGGGGAAAAAGAGGGAGACTGAGGGGAAAAATGTAGGAGACTGAGGGGAAATGAGGGTGGCTGAAGGGCTAATTGGAAACTGAGAGGGAATGTGTGAGACTGAGGGGAGAAATGAAGGAGATAGAGGGAAAAAAGGAGAGAAGAAAACTTGGGAAACTGAGGGGAAAAACAGAAACTGAGAGGAAATGAGGGAGACTCAGGGGAAAATGGAAACTGAGGAAATGTGGGAGATGGGGAAAAGGAGACAAAATGAGGTGGAAATGAGGGAGACTGAGGGAAAAGGTGGAGACTGGCAGGAAAGGAGAGGAACTGGGGGGGGAAGGAGAGAAGCAAAGAGGTGACTGAGGGGGAAAATGAGAGCAAAGGTGGGAAACTGAAGGAAAAATGGAAAATGAGGGAGTCTGGGGGGGAAATGAGGGAGACTGAGGGAAAAGGGGAGAAACTGAGGGGGAAAGGAGTAAACCAGAAAGAAAATGAGTGAGATGAAGGGGAAAATGGAAACTGAGAGAAAATGTGGGAGACTGAGGGGACAAATGAGGGAGTCTGAGGGGAAAAGAAGAGAAACTGAGAGAAAAAGGAAAGAAAATGAGGGAGACTGAAGGCAGTTGCAACAAGGGAGAGCAAAAGAAAGATGAGGAAGGACAAGGGAGAATGAAGGAGGGGAAACGGGAGGATAGGAGAAAATGGGATAAACTGAGGAGAAATGGGGGATAAGAGGGAAAAGCAGGGAGCATTGAGAAAAAATGAAGGATGGTGAGGGGAAAACAAGACGGGGGAACTGAGGGGGGAGAAGCAGAGGGAAAAGGCACAGGAAGAAGAGAGGCTGGGGAGAACAAGGTAAGCCCTGCCTGGCCACCCCAACCTGCCGTGCTGGGAGCCACGGCTTCACTTGTTCCCCTTGCTCTCCCGTGTTCCTGCTCATTGGTGTCAGGAATTAACACACAGGCGAGACAAGTGTGGACTGAGGTGGGGGGAGAGGGAGAAGTGGTGGGATGGGCGAACAGAGATGGGTGAACACCTGATCTCAGTGTTGGTTGTGCGCTTCGAGGAACACCCTGGGCGACAGAACTGGGGGTAGAACAGCGAAGGGCAGTGGTAGAACAGCAGTGGTATAACAGCTCACCCGGGGCAGAATGGGTGAACGATCCCCAGTGTTGGTTGTGCACTTCAAGGAACACCCTGGGGGATGGAATTGGGGATAGAACCCAGAAGGGCACCAGGGTGTGGAGGAGCTGCCTCAGAGCCTCACCTGGGGCGGGTTGGGTGAACGAGGCCCAAATGCCTGATCCCGGTGTTGGTTGTGCCTTTTGAGAGACACTTTGGGTGACACAACCGGGGGCTGAACCCAGAAGGGCTCCGGGTGCTGAGAAGCCACTTCAGGGTTGGCAGAGGTGTAGGAGGAAGAAGGGCAAGATGGGTGAACAATTAGGCCCAAACGCCTGATCCCGGTGTTGGTTGTGCACTTCGAGGAACATCCTGGGACAAAATTGGGAATAGAACTGAGAAGGGCACCGGGTGCTGAGGAGCTGCCTCAGCAGTGAGGAGAGGAGGGGGCTAGATGGGTGAACAACGAGGCCTCAACGCCCGCTCCTGGTGTTGGCTGTACGCTTGGTGGAACACTCTGGGGGACAGCACTGGGGATAGAACTGCGAAGCACACTGTACCCGCCGCGCACCCGCCTCAGCGCCTCACCCACCCTGAGGGAGGTTCTGGGGGGGCCATCAGACCCTACTCGACCCACAGTGCCGACCCCGCCCCTTTCCCCGCCCACTCCCTCTTAGCCTGCCCTTCCATTGGTCAGAACGGCTGCCCATCAGGTGGAAGGGGCGGTGCCGCGCGCGGCGCGCTGGTATTGGCTCCCCCCTCCCTCCGCCATGGCGGCCGTGAGGCGGTTTCCGGTTCCGCGGGGCGGGCGCGGGGCTGGCGCTGCGCTCTGAGTGACACACAATGAGGCGGGCGGCGGGGCCGTGAGGGGCCGCGACCGAGCAGGCGGCGGCCGAGGAGGCGGCGGCGGCTGCGGTGGGGAGGGGGGTGGGGGGGAGAAACCGGACGCAAGAGCGCGGAGAGAGGGTTGTGGGGTTTTTTTCCCCCCTCTCCCTCCCTCTCTCTCTCTCTCTTTCCCTCTCTCTCTCTCTCTCTCTCTCTGTGTCTCTCACCCCCTTCCCCTCGCCGCGCGCGCTCCGCCGACCGGGCAGCGCAGACCGAGCGAGCGGGGCCCGCGGCGCTGCCGTGCCCAGCCATGGACAATCAGGTGAGGAGCGGAGCGGCCGCGCCGCGCTGAGGGAGGGCTGGGGCGGTGCCGCCCCCCCCCCCATTTCAGAGAGGGGGGCACGGAGGGGAGGGCCCCCCCCGAGGAGGGGGTGCTGCGGGAGGGCACCCCCAGTTCTCGGGATTCCCACCCCCGAGGTGTTGGGGGGCGTTGTGGGGGGCACATCGCCTCCTCAATCTCATGGTGGAGGGGGACATCTTTTCCCCAACCCCCGTTTTGGGGGGGGGCACATGTTCTTCTCAAACCCATTGGGGAGGGGAACATGTTCTCCTCAACCCCCACTTGGGGGGGATACACCTTCTCCCCAGTCCCATTGGGGAGGGGGATATGTTTTCCCCACCTCCCAAAGGGGGGGGACATCTTGTCCTCAGTCACATTTGGGGGGACACATGTCCTCCTCAATGCCATTGGGGGGGGGATATGTTTTCCCCACCTCTCATTTGAGGGGGATATCTTGTCCTCAGTCACATTTGGGGGGGTCACATCTCCTCCTCAATCCCACTGGGGAGGGGGATGTGTTTTCCCTACCAACCCCATTTTGGGGGGCATGTCTTGTCCTCAGTCACATCTGGGGGACACAGCTTCTCCCCACACTGTCTTTGGGGAGGCACACCTCCTCCATGCCCCCCCCAAATGGATGGTACATGTCCTACTCACACCCCTTTGAGGGGGACACCTCCTCCCTGCACCCTTTGGGCTACACTTACTTCTCAGTCCCATTTGGGGGTGGGGTACACCTCCTCCCCACACCCCATTTGAGGAGCACATCTCCTCCTCGTACTCCTTTGGCGGGCACATCTCCCCTCCACACCCCCTTTGGGGGGCACATCTTCCCCCCTCCCGCCCTCTTTGGGAGGACACGTGCCCTCTCCAATCCCATTTGGGGGGCACACCTCCTCCTCACCCCCCTTTGTGGGGGCACACCTTCCCCACACCCTCTGTTTGGAGGAGGGTCACACCTCCTCCCCACAACCTTTTTGAGGGGGCAGATCTCCTGAAGCCCATTTGGCTGGGGGCACACCTCCTTCCCACCCCCCATTTTTTGGAGACGTTTCTCCGCTCACCCCTTCGGGGGTCGCACCTCCTCCCCACCCCTCATTTGAGGGACACATTTCCTCCTCACTCCCCATTTAGGGGGCATACATCGTCCCCACTCACCCCTTTGGGGGGCACACACCTCCTCCCCATCCCTCATTTGGGGGGCACAGCTCCTCTTCACTCCCCATTTTGGGGTCACATCTCCTCCCCATACCCCGTTTCGGGGGTCACACCTCCTCCCCACTCCCTTTTGGGGGGCTCTCAGCCCTCTCCCCTCCATGGGCGGCCGCCGCAGCCTCGCCCGCGGCGGGGGGTGGCAGCAGCAATTCCCGCAAATTCCTACCCGGGATTATTGACAGCGAGAGAGGTGCCGGCCATGCGACCCCCCCCGGAGCTGCACCGGGAAGGGTTAATACCGCCGGGAAGGGTTGATGCCACCGGGATTGCTCCAGGATGGATGCTGGAAGTTAACTGAGGTGATGTGGATGTGGAGCCTTTTGTGTGCGCGGGAGCGGGTAACAGGTACCTCCCGGGCTGAGGTTCGGGAATGAGCCCCGCTATCCCGGATAATCACCCGGAGGAGCGGGAATGGGAGCCGCTCGATGGCTTTCAGGCAATTAGCACATCAAACAAAAACCGGAGCAGCCTTCAGAATGTTTATTGAGAAGTTGAAAGCAGGCTCCTTTGTATTATTACAAATTGTTTGAATAGGATCCTGATTTCCCTTTGTTGGGAGACACGCTTGGAAATAAAAAGGAAAAAAACCCTCCATTTTCAGCGGAGCAACTTTGGATGTTGGTTATGTCGGGAGATCTTATTTTCAAATGTGTTTCAACTTCTGGCTTAATTCTCAGCGATTGTTAATTGGAGCGGGGTGTGAGGAGTGCAGCAAGTACAACTTTCGCTCTCAGATAAACAGTTCTCCTTTATGTTTAATTTCGGTCTCTTCCACACAGCCCCATCTGGTTCTCAGCTACAGTTTCTCAGCCGTTTCGACTCGGAAAGGCAGATTTTGTAGCCTGACAGTCATTTGCACTTCTCAGGAGAGGGGTAGTAACTGGCAACAGTAGCAGGATTTAAAGGGTAATTATGGAATCGATAACGTGAGGCTGCGGCACGGGCTGGCTCAGGGGATGTGAACGCTGTGGGAAGCATCCCAGATAAAGCAGGCCTGCAGGCACACTCCAGTGGGAGCTTAGGATTTGGGCAGGCTGTCTCCACATAATGCTTTCCCGGGATTGCTGAGCTCCGGGTGAAGCACACCTTGCCTTTCTTCTGAGTCCTTAATGCGACATGAAAGAACAGCTGGCCCTGCTCCTTCAGGAGTGAGATGGAGCCGGTGTAGATAAGCCATAAGAACAGGAAAAAATGGGAACTTGCAGAGGAAGGTATCCCAAAGAAATGTTGTAGTGAAGGAATTAATTAGATGAGTTTGTCCCCGAGCCTTAGAACGGATGCGTTGGATCGAGCTGAGGGTATTTTGCTGTGAGGATATAAACTGCCTGAACAAGTGTGTTAAGGCTTATGGTTGAAATTGGAACTGGACTGCAATTTGGGAGGTCAGGCTTTGATGCCTGGTGCTCTGCAGACCTCCTGTGAGAGCTTTTTACAGAGACAAGAACGCTGAGGTGGGGTGACTTGTGCTTTTTCAGCACCGTGCTCTGAAAAAAAAAAGTCAGGTTGGAGATGCAAAATATTTTTTGAGCGTTAATTGTGATCACGTTCCTTGCTGCAGTTCATCCGTGGGAAAATAAGGATGCTGCTTTCCCTAAACATTTGTCTAGAGCTCAGGAAGCTTTCTCTTTCCATGTTCATTGTCTAACATCATGCCTTTGGTTTGGCTCTGGGTCAACATGTAATATAGGTAATGACAAATAATGTTGCCTCTCCCAGTGGTAATTGGGACCTGCTAGGAAGAACAAGACACTTATTTGCAAGCCTGAAGTGAAGGATGGGGTAGGGACTAAAAACTGCCCCTTTTTCTATGAACCTCCTGGTGCTGAAGCTGGATTTTGATAGGATTAGTTTGGAATCAGTGTGTTGCTGCTCTGGTTTGTGTAACAAATATGCACAAAAGTCGGATACCTTGGGTGTTATTCTCTGTCTCTACAAATCTGGCCCTGACATTCCCTTGATTTATCTTGTGTCTGAATCCCTTTCCTCTGTTACATCTGTTTTATTCATTCTCTTTCTCCTGTCTGAAGTCTGCAATAATATGTGGACCTTCACCATTAATTTCATCTGGCTTTTAAGACATTTTAATGGGATTTTTGTGCTTTGAGTAAGGCACAGAATACACCTTCTCTGTTAGTGATTGGAGTAGGATTCAGAAGTGCAAATCAGAATTAGGTCAGTTTAGTGTTGGACATAGTGCAGGCAGAGATGATAACTTGGTCTTGGAAAACGTGTTAATAAAATATATTTAGAATACAGGAAACATCGGAGTTTTATTCTAAACTACCAATTCATGATGTGATTTTTCCTGTTTCAAAATTAGTTTTCTGTCAGTGCTGTGAATCCTGGAAGCTGTGAACATCAAGTTCTGTCTCTGACACTTTCTAGAAATAAAGACTCCGCAATTAGGACTTTGCTGACAATTTAACTGATAAGTGAGGCAGAGAAACCGATCCCAATTCTAAAGCTGCTCTAGTATTAGGGGGGAAATAGGTATGAAATGGTGCTGGGAGGTATTTTTATGATGCCTTTTCTGTTGACAACACTGGTTGTCAGTCTGGGGCTGATCTCTCTGTGGATCTGTGGCGTTCCCCCCGGCAGACCCGGGCTCTGCTGTCGGGGGCCTCATCGTTCTGTAACCTATAAACTGCATCATTTTGCTTGTGGTCCTAAAATGCTAAAACCTCTGTCCTAAAACAGTGCACAGTGCAAGTCAAACTGGAGCTGGGGCACCGAGCCCAACTGAGGAAGAAGCCCACCACGGAGGGGTTCACCCATGACTGGATGGTGTTTGTCCGTGGCCCCGAGCAGTGTGACATCCAGCATTTTGTGGAACGCGTGGTCTTTCGGCTGCATGAGAGCTTCCCAAAGCCCAAGCGAGGTGAGTGGATGCTTGAAGGTGTATTATTAGGTGTTCTCTCCATGAAATAGCATTTTGCAAGTTAAGGTTGTCTTGGGCTGTCACTTTTCTTTAAAATAGCTCCTTAAAGAGGGGCGAAATGTCCATTGTGTGCGCTCTGCTTTAACCTTTCCTGACTGTGTTTGAGGAAGGTCAGGGAGAATGGGACCTTTCTTCTGGTGAAAGGGCAGGAGGTGAGGTGCTTTCTCCTCTTGTTTAAGCATTAGTACTTGCAGGTTCTCAACACACAAGTGACAGCAGAAGATAATTCACGTTATGGAATGGGAGAGGTGGGTTTGATTTGTTGGAATTCACCAGCAAAAGCTGGAAGCACATGATCAGTGAGAGATGCTCAAATACTGGGCTTTTATATGTACTGGGGTGTGTAGGGTTCTGCACTGGTCATGGATTCTTGCAATTCCTAGCCTCGGGTGCCAGTTCAGGTAGATTAACCCAGCAGAAATCAGTGATGCCACAGGGTGATGGTCCCTTTGCCCCTGGCTGGGTGGTCAGTGTGGTTGGGCAGAGTGTACACATTGCAGTGTTATTTTCTGTCTTTGCTTTGTGACTGTGTGGAAAAGATGCTGGCACCAGGCAGCGGGAATTCATGAGGCTGAGGTGGAGGAACAGGAATTGCCCTTTTAGGGGGCAGCACAGAGTTACATCTGTGTAAGATTGTGTAACTGTAGCTGCAGTGTTACTGTTTTAAGAAATACAAGCTGCCTGTGAGTGTTGCTGTGAAGTACTTTGTAATGTGCATTCTTAACGTACACTCAGGATGTCTTAGGACAACCTGTGACATGGGTTATTTGTAAGAGTCCACAGTGGAAAGTAACTCAAAGGCGCTCAGCTCACGAGAGTGTGAATATGGAATGTATGTTAATAATGTCTCCTTCAAATTGACGTAGTAAAACTGATGTATGATAAGCAAGTGCAGGACTGAGCAGAAAGCTAATTTATAGAATAAAAATTGTAATCTGCTGGGTTACAGTTCTGTCATCTGGTGTAATTTAATTTATTACAAACAACTGTGTTGTGGTAGTACATAGAATCATGGTGTGGTTTGGGTTGGAATGGACCTTAAATACCACTTTGTTCCACGCCCTGCCATGGGCAGGGACACCTTCCACCAGCCCAGGGTGCTCCAAACCCCGTCCAACCTGGCCTTGGACACTTCCAGAGATGGGGCAGCCACAGCTGCTCTGGGAAACCTGCGCCAGGGCCTCCCCACCCTGACAAGGAAGAACATCTTCCCAATATCCCATCTAACCCTGCCCTCTGGCAGAGTGAAACCATGGCCTTTGCTCAGTCAGTTACTTTGTCATCTACATTCACAGAGATATTTTTCCCTAATCCCTGGGTTTTTAATGCTTCCTTGAGCTCCATTCTAAGCCCAGCATGCCTTTGACCAAGGTGTGTTTGGGTTTTACATAAATACTGTGGCATGTGCATCCTATTCCTAGGTTTGTTTGAAGGGTTCCTTCAGCTGGTTCTGTCTCACTTGGAGCAGATCCTGGTGCTGAAGGTGGGCTCGTGCTGCTGGCAGATTGCTCCTGGAATCATTGGAATTTGTCAGAATAGAGTGGCAGAAGAACAAAGGCTGCTTGGCAGATAGGCTTGAAATTCCCGCTGCCATATTGGCACTGCTCTTTGATTTTGGGTTTTTCCCTCTAAATGACAGGGTTCTTATATAAAATTCAAGTTAAAGCAAGTCTAGAGCTTTTTATTATTTTTAGTACGTCTTTTTTTCACAGTTGAATTTTGAGTGCTGTTTTTCAGCACCTTAATGATGGTAAAAGTGCTTAGAGCTGGGGTAACACATCTACATTAAAGGAAAATAATTTGTGTGCTTTTAGGTTTGATGTACTGTTTCCTAATCATATTAATTACTCGGAATTCTTATGAGAAACTCCAAAGATTTGCACTGAATTCCTCTAATTACTTAATTGACTTTATTTACATATATTGTAGTGCATAAATTATACGCAAGTGCATCCGGTTCCTGGGAGGGAGAACATCTCTGTGGGTCTCATGTTTCTTCTGGCAGCTGTTGTGTGTTTCTACATCATGGCCAAAGAAATGATCCTGGAATCCTTAGAGTTGGATATCCCTATCCTGGAATGCAGTGGTGGATAATAGGAAGGATTCAGGAGCATGAAGCTACACCAGGTAGCGGGACAGGGGCAACTGAGGCAGGAAACACAGAGATTAATTTCTCTGAAGCAATTAACTTTTCTAATTACCGTGCTGCAGAAAGCAGCTCTGACCTTAGCAACAAACTGGTTCACCTTCCTCCTTGTGTTTCCTTGTGTGTGGAATAAATAGCAGTGCTCACCTGCCCTTCGGGTTTGTGAACCTTTGGGGGAAGCAGCCTGTTACCTCATTATGAGGGTTGAGGATTTCAGGGGAGTGTTTCAAGTTAAAAATAATCATCTTGCTTGCGTGTTGTAGTGCTTTGATTAATAAATATGGACATCAAAGTCAATTTTACCTTTCTCTGCTGTTGTACCTTTTGGGTCTTGGCCTTTTCTTGCCAGACAGCTCGAACTGGCAGTTTGCATTGTTGTGGAACAGCCCAGAAATGTAATTGTATCTCACTGCAAAGGGGGGTAAGAATCTCACAGAGCCTCTGGCCTGGAGTGTTTTATGTTTCCTTTCCATGGGAGGAGCTAAGAACAGATTTTCATGTTCCCAACTAAGCCTGTGGCCACCATCTTATTCTGTGTGGTTTTCTCCACAAAGGTCAGTGTTTTAACTGTGTCCTGAGTTCTCAGGGGCCCGTTTCTCCTCTTGCAGCTCCTTTTTGGCTCAGATGAAGTTGTGCTGAATTCCAAGTTCACATTTATTTGTTCTCTTTCAGTGTGCAAGGAGCCCCCCTACAAGGTGGAGGAGTCTGGCTACGCTGGCTTCATTATGCCCATTGAAGTGCACTTCAAAAATAAGGTAGAAATCTGATTTCTGGTCTTCTAATTGTTTTGAGCTGTGCCAGAGCCTGAAACTGCCTGACAGAAAGACTCTAAATTATGTGACTGTTTTATGTGTGTGTTTTTTATTAGTCTAATAAATAGAATTTAACTGGGAGTTGGAAGCTCCTGCCAGACTTCAAAAGAAAGCTTTTGGCAGAAATGGAATTGCATAGAAAGGTGATATCAGGACAGTGGATGGTCCTAGAGATTGTACCACTTGTAGCTCCTTTAACTTGGAGACTATTAAAGCATTTTAAAATATTTTATGCACATATGGAAGTAAATAAACATAAACTGCTGATTTTGTCAACATTTGTAAACACTGTGTTGTCCATAAATGAAAAAAATCCACTTTTTAATTTGCAATCTCATTAAATTAACTGTATAGGTATGAAATTTGTAGACACACATTTGCATGTCTAGGACAAGTATTCAGACCTGTGTTCAAGATATCCTTCTTCTGATTCACTGCTCTTCCAAAAAGAAAACACTAAATATTTGAAGTCTTAAGATGCATTGCCAACAAGCATATGAAAGTTAAAGTTTGGGATTTATTGCTTGCTTTTAGTCTTACCACAGAGGTCACATGCTGCAGGACTTGGAGAAGGTTATGAAAACAGGGAATTGGGCTCTTGTGTTCATATTACCTCAGTTTCAGTCAAATTGTTTTGTTAAACAGGAATAGTGAAGCTTTCTGGGTTTGATTACTGCTTAAATAATAAAATAAAAAATAATGTTTTTCTTATTAGCCCTAAGAGGGAACCTAGATAAAACAAACTAAAAATGTGACCATTGAGCCACATCACTGTAATCTCTGCTCTCACCCACCCCCTCATATATATATGTGTATGTATAAAATATATATAATTAATTCTCTTTAGCTTCCCGTCATTTTTTCCATGTATCTCCCACAAAAATCCGTCTGTCATTTCCTTCTCACCCCAGTCCAGCACAGGGCACTCTCCTGGCAATGTCATTTTGTGAATAATTAGCATTTTAGTTTGGTTTTTTTGGCCCTGCTGCATTGCCCTGACCCCACTTTGAGTCAGAGTAATGAGCCAGATAATGGGACTGAACCACAAGAAGACAAGCTGGTCTCCTAAACCTGGGAATGTTTTGCCCACAAGTTATTTTTTGGGTGAGTAGGGGAACCCAAAAGGCTGTGAAAAGAAGTGGCAGTCAGAGGGTGGGGGTGAAAGTTGTTGATAAAAGCAGCTTTTTTGGCAAACACTGAAAACTACGACTTGAGTGCAACAAAAAGCTCAAAAGCTTAAAAGTAGTTCGAATTTTGGTGGCTTTTTTGAGGTTTTAGGTGGGAATCAGAAAACTCTTGAATGTTCTCATAAGTCAGGTTCAAAATCCTTTACGTTCCTGACCAAAAAATATGAACTTCTCCGTGTTGATTCCTTGTAACTGGAACCTCTAATGACTGTGAGGGGTGAACTGTGTTTTAGTTCTACTCTTACCCTTTATTTTCCCTTCCTTTCTTCACCCAGTCTTTCCTCACACTTTTTGCTGCAGGTTTGTCTTTCACAAACCCTCTGATCTCTCATTTCTGTGTTGGATTTTTGTGGGTGCTCTTGTTTGCATTGACTGCCATCTGCATTCCTGCTTTCTTTTTTTCCTCTGTTCTTTATATCCCTGTGTTGCTGCTGAAATATGGAACTGGCAGCTTTTCTGCCTAGAACTTGGTTTCCCACCCACCGGGGTCATCCCTTCTCATTGTTCCTCCACACACGTGACTGCAGAGTTGTTCCCCTGCTCTGAGCATAGGGGTGGCTTTTATAAATAAGGGAAATAGGTGGGCTCTGTTCTCCCTGGAAACAATGGAAGAAGCAGCTAATTTAATTTGTTGCTGACATTTTGGTCTTAAGAAACATGGCAAATAATTAGGACAACAGGTTTTAGTTGCACCCTTGTTTCAAAATCTACAGATCTTCAAAATATTCATCCTTGCCTTATTTTTTAGATCCGTGTGCTTTGGAGAAGTTCTTTTCCATTTTTAAGCTGATGGACAAATTGCTAATTAAGGAGTTTCAGGCAGCATTAAATTGGGGCAAGCTCTGGTTGAGGGAACAGGTTCCATTTTCCAGCACATGGTTGGAACAGAGACATCTTCTCAGATTCAATCATGAAGTTAAGACTGCTGGAAGCTCAGAAGCTGCTGCTGATGTGGTGATGAGTGACAGGACCCGAGGGAACAGCTGGAGCTGTGCCAGGGGGGTTGGGATGGATCTCAGGGAAAGGTTCTTCCCCCAGAGGGTGCTGGGGCACTGCCCAGGCTCCCCAGGGCAGTGGGCACGGCCCCAAGGCTGCCAGAGCTCCAGGAGCGTTTGGACAACGCTCTGAGGGACGGGGTGGGATTGTTGGGGTGTCTGTGCAGGGCCAGGGGTTGGACTGGATGATCCCTGTGGGTCCTTCCCAACTCAGAATATTTCAGGATTCTATATGAGGAACTGGGCTCCTGTATCCACCATTGCCCACTTGGAATTTTAAGAGCTATGATTATTTTCAGGAAGTGGAGCTGAAGGAAATGTATCTTCTGCAAAGATAGAAATGCAAAGACTGGGATATAGCAGAAATTAAAAAGATAGGCAAAGAGGAGGAGGAGGAGGAGTGGCAAAGGCTTAGGATGCAGACTGTGTTCTCCTGAACTAAAGAACGTGGTGTTAAAGCACCAAATAAATCAAAGTCTTCATCACTTCAAGACCACGTGTTCACTCTGATCTGTGTAAACCTGTTGACACTGGTGGGGATCAGCTGGTGTGTGTGGAGCAGATATTGTTCTGAATTGATTACAGCATTTGGGGCTCATCCTTGAGTAATTCCCTTCAAGTAGATGTTAGGGATTGATCCTGGGATTGGGGAGAAAAGGCTATTTGGAGGTGGGTGGGTGTTGTGGCCATATGCTCCCACATTCTGACACATTTTTGTTGATGTGTGTCCTGGGTTGAAACCAGAGTTACAGAGGCTTTGGGATTTGTTTATCGATGCATGTTTAGCTTTGTAAAGGTGAGAAGAGAAAGGATTTAAAGAAGGAGTGAACTAATCTGTGGATGTTGATCTTTGTAGTGGTTGGCTGAAATGTTTTTTTTCCCACAGTTTAAGCCTCCTTTCTTAGCCATTTCCTTTCCCTGTGCTGATTTGTTACTGCGATGGTAAATCCTGCAGAAACACTGACCTATGCTTTGTGAAGGAACAGTTTTAAGAATGGTTTTAATGAGCTTCATCAGGGATTTTTTTAAGCAACTTGGCATAAAATCACCCATTAACTCTTTGTGTTGGAGTACCCTCTTATTGTTGTTGTGTGTTTGGAGCAGCAGAGTCTGTTCTCTTGGCCCCCCTGAAGCTTTTGGTGCCTTTCTGTCAGACAGGCAAGTGTCAACAGAGTGTAAAAAAGGTGTAAGAGCCTGTTTTTATCCTCCACAAGGGTTGTTGGGTTGTTGTGTTTGTCCTTCCTGTGCTGCACTTCAGTGCCTCCCTAAGTAGGTGCTTTCTCAGCATTGGCATTTGGATCACAGATTATAAATTGTGAATATTGCTGTGAGCCTGGGCAGGCTGTGGGGCTGAGTGGGCTGTGTGGCCACAGGACTCATTTAATACCGGCCGAGCCTCTGCTGCTGTAACTGATCCTGAAAAACAAATGGCAGGGGCTCAGCAGGTTGATTGATAAAGCTTTTGAAAGCAGAGTTGACTAATGACAGCAGATCATTTGGACTGGAAATGTTAGTGTGCTATTTTTGTGGTGAAATCCTTTGTGTTCCTGTAACGAGGGCTGCTGTTAGTGGCTTCTGCTGCTCGAATCGATACAAACCGGGTACAACAAATGCGTTGCTGTTTTTCTCCTGCTCTTCCCCTTCCCTCTCCCCCTCAATTTCAACAGTCTGGAGGCTTTTTTCATTGTTGTCTCTAAATAAATGTCTTACAGTGGTACATGTTGTGATCTGGAGGCTGTGATACAGGTCTGACTTTGGTATTCATCCCCTGTGACATTTTTTGCATCCCAATCAAATTAGATCAATCCCCCCCAATAAAGCTAAAGGTCTAGTGTATTTTCATGTTACTCTGATACAAGGCAGACGATATTAATGCAACATGGATAAGATGCTGTATTAAAGTCTCTTTAAAGATGCTACCTCCCAATTTTAGTGCTGGAGATAAAAGCCTTTCCAGGATTTACATAATGGATACACGGAACTTGGGCTTTTCCTATTAGTGAGGAGGAGATAAGCAGAGAAAGCGAAGAAATCCGTTTGATTTTTTCCAGTGAGGTTCAAGAGAAAAACATGCATATTTTACCCCTTCTGCAACATTTATAGGTGTGATACAGAAAACAAACAGAGAAATATTGGAGAAGGGAAAAATTGTTTGTGTCTCACGGTAGGAACTCAGTGGACACGTTGTAAGTGGGCTGCACATATGGCAGGGGAGTGAAACAAGATCAGCTACAACTGGTGTCAGGACTGTGCCATCAGGAGGGGATTGGCCTGGGAAATGCTCCCAAGGAAGGTTGTGGCAAGAATTGGCCTGGGAAATGCTCCCAAGGAGGGCTGGAGAGCCTGTGTTTGCACGAGATGTTTGATTTTACACGAATTACTGTTCTTGGGGCAGGGTCTGCACAGGTTTGAGGAAAGGAGGAGTAGCTTTAACCTGCTGGTGTTGACTCAGTGTTGCTGAAAGTTGTGGACAGAGGAGTAAAACTTGTCATTTGTCTGGCCTTTAAGGGAAGCATTTGTTGCTCACATTTTTTAGGTCTATTTTGCATTCCCCACCAAACCTGCAGCACTTTTGTGCTGCTGCTGAGGAGCGAATCTTTTTTTTTTTTTTACCTTCTCCTGTCAGAAATTAATATGTATTATCAGTTTATCCATTCCTTTATCTAAGCAGGGCTTTCCTGGCCAAAACCCCCCTGGGCTGTGTGTGTTTCAGTAGCCATTCACTGTGGGGCTTCCATATGCTGAAAATATATATATATGTGTGTATATATAAGATATATGTATATGTAAGATGTATATATTAAAAATATATATGTATGTATAAGATCTAAATATTAAAAAGATATAAAAATTATATACAAAATATATAAATAGATATAGATATTGGTATTAAATGTATATTATATATATATATATATATAAAAATATATAAATAGATGATTATATAAAAAGATATATAAATTTGTAGTGCCTGGCAAGGATGAGTTTGCAAACACAGTAGCTTTACCGGCCATGCAGCATCATATCATCTATTTGTAAGAGTTAGGAGATTATTAAATGCTTGTCTTGGACCAGTGAGTACAAAAATATATCAGGAACACCTAATTTTCAAACGAAGAATTATTTCTGATGCGGGGAGAGTCCAAAATGCTGTTCCCTGTTGTTTCACTGAAGAATCACAGAAAAGATAAAGGTGGTTCATGGTCTCCTGAGTGGAACACAGGGCCACTTGCTTCAAAAACTGAATCTTGGGCTATTCACTTTTAAATGTCCTGTCTGGAAGCGGGTGGAAGACCAGTCAGACGGGTTGTACGAGCCTGGGAAGGGGGTTTCATTTATACAGACGTTCCGGATAAATGACTCTGTCAGGCTGGATCTATGGCAAAAGGGAAGTGGTGTTAGATGTTATAGTTATTGAATAACCATGAGCCTGCTTCCTTGGTGTGCTAGATTTTTTTTGTAGATAATTTTGTTTTATGGCTTTCTAAAAGTGATTTATGAGCTTTATGCGCACGCTACCAGTGAAATCCTTTTGATTTGTGTTAAGTGGCAAAGGGCACACCCTGCCTTAAAAACAAGACAAGGAAATTTTAACAAAAGACTTTGAAAAATTCCTCCTCTTTACGAAGAAAAGTGCCAAAAGAACTTTAACCCATTACTTGAGAGCTCAAAGGGAAAATAAAGCGGCTTCAGTGCTCGTAACAGCACAGTGGCGGTCGGTGCAGACAGGAAGCAGTAAAAATAAAACCTAATGTACCCTGCTTGGGAGATTGGAGGTGGAATAGGGGGATTCACGGGATGAAGGGAAGTTTACAGCAGCTGCAAATAAAAGCTTGGCCCTGGCTTTGTGATCCACACTCGTAGTTTACTTCTCTGGCATCCTGAGATTTAAGGGGCAGATGCAAAGTGAGGTTCTGAGGTGCCTTGCTGAGAGATCCCCCCTCCCTGTACCAGCTTAACCATTTCCTGACCAAATTGACCACTGGATTTTAAATCTGAATAGCTGATATCTACCAATTAGAAACGGATGCAATGCATCCTTTTTAAAGCTCTTCTTGGGAGTAAGGCCCTTCAGGGAGCAACAAAATATCCAGAGAAAGTAAGGCTCTCCCCTGTTCAGTTTTGCTGGTTGATGTCAAGGGTTGAATATCAGAAGGTGGAATCATCTAAGAGTAAAGCCTGGCTTGTGTGTGTAGTTGCTGCTCAAGCAGGAGTAGGTAAAGTGATGCTGTAGGACTGTCTGGACCAAAGTTTGTAGGGTGAGAAAGCACCTACACCAGGTTGCAGCCCCAAGCAGCAGGATTTGTGGACCCCAGCATAGTATTTAGAAAGGCTTTGAAGTGTGGCCCTGTGGATTCAAGCCTGGCTTTCCATTCCAAGTTAGAAGATGGGTAGGTCCAGGTCAATTGAGAGATTTCCCTTGGTCTTCCGCCCCCCTTCCCCCCTTGATGGTTGTTTGGAGGGAAGAACCTTTTAGGGGGGACCGGATGGATTAAGCTTTGGAGTGGCTGGAGCTGTAATCATTAGCTGGGCAGTGAGGGCAGTAAAGGAAAGAATGTTTATTTGCAGCTTTTTGCTTTGAGACTTTTGTGGTGGTTCTTTTAGGAGTGCTGTAATCTCAACTATTCACTTGGTGGGGGGAGTTGGGGGGCTCCTCATGGCCTTGGGGATACAAAGGGGATTTTAATGATCAGGACACTTGGCTGGGGCTCCTTCCCAGGGCAGGAGTTGGAGAAAAATCACATTGAAAAACCGCCTTAATTTTACAAAAATTCAACAGAGACACAATAAATATTTGGGAGCTTCTGTCCTTGTGAGTCTATACAAGAAATGGGATACCTAAGGTGAGAGGGAGAGGAATCTGCTGCCTCTGCCCTGCTCAGAAAGCAAACAAATGACAAAGCAGAGCTGGTAATGGGGTGGCAAAACAGCTTTTGACCAAATCCTGCCTTTGCTAATATATCCAAGATCTATTTACTCTCTTGTAAACCAGGAAAAGCATTTTAGAAACCATTATTAGGCCACATTTGGGTTTCTATTCATCCTTCATTTCAGTTTATTAGACTTTGAGAGACCCTGTGCAGCTGCTGTTTGAACTGCAGCGAGCACACACGCAGAGCTCGCTAATGATTCTGTTAATGAGGACGGTCATGGAAGAGAGGGAAACAACAGGGCAGTGGATTTTGCAAGGGTTTTTTCTTTTTCTTCCCATTTATCTGTTTTAGTGGCCACTGAACCCTTTGGGGAGACACTGAGCCCTTTTGGGAGGGCGTGGGTTCTTCAAGACTGTCCCAAGAGAAGCTCTGAAGACCCTGGTGTTGGTAGCACGTTAATCTGAGACTCGATACCTGTTTGGGGGTTAGGACTAACCTTGACTCCCAGATAAGCTCAGGGTGCTGATTTTGGCGTTTACCTGATTTTGGTAAATCAGGTGTAGTTACCACCCTCTGTATTATGAGAGGTGTAGTTTGTCCAAGAAATGGCCTCTGCAGCAGGAGCAAACAGCAGGAATCGGGGTGGTCCGAAGCCGTTTGACGCTCTAACCTATTTTCAGCAAATCTAATGGAGCTCGGGCCGGGAGCCTGCGGCGTCTGTTCCCATCCAACAATGCAACTGCACCAGGAAATCGAGCTGCTGGATATGAATTCTGGAAAAGGCTGCTGTGCAGCTGCTTGATGTTGCGCAGTGAATGAGGCATGTGGGAAGCATTCATGGAAACACGGAGGGTACTGCCGGGCTCACCGGGCTTTGCAGGAGAGTCTCTCTTGCCACATTTACTTTCCAAGCTGGAATACAAGAGAACACCAGGCAGTGTCCTGTGGGTATTTGTAACGCACAAGCAGCCTGCAATATTTGCAGTTTTGGTGTGGGGGGGGTGTGAAAAAAAAGGAGGAGGTTTGTTCCATTCTGTGCTGCAGATGCAGCAGGTGGAACAGGAGCAGTGAGGCGCAGATGATCCCCAACGTGATACAAAAACTCAGGATTGCTTGGGTGAAAGTGCCCTCGGAAAAGTTCAAAAGCCTGGGATATCTTCCCATTCAGCCTCTGCAATATGCATATTGAAAAGGATTTTGCAAACCAAGTCATCCTTTTCCCTGTTGTGTTTAATCTTTTCTTGGTACCCACAGAGATCCCGGGAGTTCAGAAGTTGTTTTTTCTCTAAAAAAAAAGGATTGTGCTTTTCTTAATATTGATACTTAAAAGTTGCTTCCCAAAGGAGATAGGATCTGAATTTTGGGGAAAACAGAATAGCAGGTAGACCTTGTGAATCTGCTTTTCTGGGAAGGCTTGGACAGCTTTAAATAGACAATTTTCACTCAAAATTCATGCCTGTGTGTTACTTTTGCAGTGGTTCATGCCTCAGTTCCTGCTGAACACTGTGTTAACTTCAGGCACAAATAGTTTCATTTTCAGCTCTCTGATCTCATGATGAAAAACTCCACGTATACAACACTTAGTGGTTTATTTGGGATTTTCAGGAGTGACTGTTTGGATCCTCAGCCTTACTCTGCTTGCCAAACTCCTTCCGGTCTCCCAAAGTCTTTCTTGTTTTTAGGAGGAGCCGAAAAAGGTTTGTTTCACGTATGACCTGTTCCTAAATTTGGAGGGAAACCCACCTGTGAACCATCTTCGTTGTGAGAAACTGACTTTCAACAACCCCACCAAGGAATTCAGGCGCAAACTCATTAGGGCTGGAGGGGTAAGTGCCAGAGGGATTTGGGATCCTAAGAGGTTCTGCTAAAATGTGGAGTGAGCTTGTTTTGCTCTCAGGTTTCTTCTTCAGGCTTCAAGCAGTTTTCTGTGTTCATCTAAAGGGTGACCCAGCCAGCTTTCACTCCTGGTTATACAATTGCAGCACTTGAAGCAGAACAAACCCTTTGCTGGTGTGGTTGGTGACTCTTCATTTTTCAATTTAAATGTGACCATTAATATCAAAGCACTTAAAACCCCTCTGGAAATAGAGATCTGCTGTGGATGATGCAGGCTGTCCATCAGTTATCTGGAACCTTCCTGGTGCCAGGAGCTGGATCAGGACAGAAAAGCTCAAGGAAAGGGAGAGACTTCCAGCCTATTCCTTGCTCATTTTGTTTAGCTTAATAGTTAGTGCTTTCTGGTCAATAAATGTCCTCTAAACCTGGGATCAGCTGCTTGTGGCTTAGATAATAAAAAATTAATGAAAAATATTAGAATGTAAAGTGAAAACAGGTGTGGGAGATAAAAATAGCTGTACCCTTGAAGGCACAATAAGATATGGGTTCCTACAGTGGATGAACTCTTACCTCTGGAGAAGTAGCATGCAGTGATAGACTAAGGGATGATCCTCAAATAACTACAAATCTGAGCAAATTAATGCAAGCCACAAAGTGCATGAAGTTTTTAACCAACCAGAGGATGTCAAGGCCAGGTTGGACGGGGCTTGGAGCACCCTGGTCTATTGGAAGGTGTCCCTGCCCATGGGAGGGGGTGGAATGAGATGAGCTTTAAGGTCCCTTCCAACCCAAACCACTCCATAATTCTGACTGTGTTCTGAGATACCCCCTTATGCAGTAATGCACAATGTTCTGTTCAAGGATTTTATTCAGGATGGTCTCAATTGGTGGCAGAATTTTCTTCTGGAAAAGTCAGAAAGTTGTGGGGAAGATGGTCAGTAGTAGATCTCAGGAGCTGCAGGTATTCCAGCTGTTCCAGTGCTTCTCTGTACTGGGCACAGGGAAAGGTGCTCGCTTCAGCCCTATGAGGGTTGGAACATCATCTGCTTTCTAGGATTTTCACAGTAATTACTGTATTCCTTGTGTACTGAAGTATTTCAACTGTGAACCACTTTTGATGCTGTTTATCTAGTGGAAATTTTCCACAGAATTATTCTGACAATATAGGGGAGGTAAGAAGGGAGTTGTTCCATGGAGCTCAGTGCTTGGTGTTAAGACCTTGTCAAGGGAGAGACACAAGCCCTGCTCTTTTGTTTTTCTTTTTTTTTATTATTTTTCTTTTTTCCTCTGAATTCAGCTTCCCCTAAACCAATGAAGTCTTGCTCATTCCTTCCAGATTTATCTCACTACCCTTTTTCAGGATAAAAGCATTTACAGCAGAACACACAGTTCTTGTCCAGAGCTTTATTGCCTTCCCTGTGCTCAGAGTACTGGCATTCCCTTTGGGAAAGACACTCGATATTGCATGTTGCCTTTCATTTTTGGTGGGTTTAGTATGCTCTGTTTGAGGAGTTGCCTTGAAACTGAGCCTTCCATAGACAATATCTTTTTATGGCCTTTAAGCGGGGGGGAACCCTTCAAAAGATGAATAATGGTGTGTTAATTGAGCAAGAGGCTTAACATAATCATGTGTTAATAGTTAATAGTCCGTGAGACTTTCCTTAGACATAATTTCTCTCTTCTTTATCCCCAGGTAATGGTAATGCCAGAAGGAGCAGAAACTGTTTCAAGGCCAAGTCCCGACTATCCAATGTTACCCACGATACCTCTCTCTGCCTTCTCTGATCCCAAGAAGACCAAACCCTCCCATGGCTCAAAGGTCAGTGCAGCAGACTTTTGGGTCACCCTGAGGTGAAAACATCTTTCAGGGCTTGCTGCTGAGAACTTGTTTAGCAGCTGTTTCTGGCTGCTTCCAGTTCTGAAACCTTCTTGTACTCTGCAGCTCAGGAGCCAGTGGTCTGGAACTTACCATAATTTAGGAGACTTTTTTGGATGATTTGATAGACTTCTCTCCAGGGAAGTTTTGAAAAGAAAATTACATGTCCAAGACTGGGAATTTTTGGTGAATTGTATCTTCCTCTAGATCTGCTGTAACAGATAAAGGTGGATTAAATCCTCTCTGATTGTATCCTTGGTGCTGAGGATGAATTCTGTGGATGTTTCACTGTCTGCCATGTCCAGCCCTGTTCTGAGTGCCTGCATTTCTTTGCAGAAAGGCTGAGAGGAGAGTCAGCCCTTCCTGTCCTTACAACTGCTCAGGGCAGTGCTGTAAATAAAGAACATAAAATATGCTGCATTTGGTCAAACTGGCGATTTCCAGACTTGATTGTTTGCATCCAACTGTAGCCAGTTCCTGAGCCTTCTGAAGAACCTTAAGTTTGCTTTTTTTCACTTATGTACTAAAGCTATTTTTGTATAATTCTACATGGGAGAAACAATCCCCAGGCAATGGTGTTTTGGAGCAGAATACATGCACTTTATCAGCCTGAGCAGTCACAGATATTAACAACAATTCATTTTACACTGTAACTCAATTCTGATATCCATGTTCTTTGGGGCTCTAAACACTTCTGGCACTTCAGTCCTGCTTTCTGATGTTATGAAACGGAATGAAGATGACTTACCTGTTAGTGGCTGATTTAATTTTGGTCAGGAAACATAGAAGACATCAGAGAGATAAAGGGCTTTGACATGAGGTCTGGTGAAAATTGCCGGTAGGTAAAGAGATAATATTTTCCTGCTCCCTTCCTCCAGGTTTCCCTCAGAGGTTCATGTGTGTTTGCATTCAGATTAAATGTGAACTAAACATCTGAAGGTGTTTCGAGAACTTTTATAGGTCCTGGAAAGGAACAGGACCTGTTACAGTTCCCACTGTCCATTTGTGTCCATCAGCTTTAGGAAAGTGTAGATGTTTACCTGGGAGGTAGAGAAGCACTGCAGGGATCAGTGGGTGGATTTCTGCAGGAAACAACCATTTCCATGTGATTTATGAGGATGTGTTCTGTCCTTCTGTGCAGAGTTTCATATTCAGCTTGCATGTTTTCTGTTGCTGAATTTTAGGAGGCAAACAAGGAAAGCAGCAAAGCATCCAAGCCACACAAAGTCACCAAGGAGCACAGAGAGAGGCCCAGGAAAGACTCTGAGAGCAAAAACTCTTCCAAAGACCTTGAGAGAGAACAAAACAAGCCTTTGAAGGACTCCTCCAGAAAACCAACTGAGAACAAACTGCCTAAGGAGGAGAAGGCACCTCCAAAAGCTGCTTTCAAGGAACCAAAACTGGCCGTGAAGGAGACCAAACTGGAGAACACTTCCCCAAAGGGGGGGCCACAGCCGGAGTTAAAGTCTTCCAGCAAGAGGCCCTCCAACGTGGAGTCACCAAAGCCTAGTGCCAAAAAACAAAAAAAGAGTAGCTCCAAAGGGGTGAAGAACATCCTGGGGACGTCTCCCAGAACCTCGTCTTCCTCATATCCAGAGAAGAAACAAACCAAGGAGAAGATGAATGCCAAAGTGGAGAAGGTAAAATCCGAGAGCGAGGCCAAGGAGATCAAAAAGCCTGTGGAAATGGAGGAGTCAAATTCAGAGGATGAAACTTCTTTCAAGTCAGAGGTGAGTAGGGATTTATCCTTTTTCAGAATTTGGAAAGGTGCTGTTTAAATCCTTGCCTGAAAGAGATGTTAAAAATATTCTCTCAGAGGAGATAGAGAAGCAGGTTGGTAAATGCTTAGCCTGGGTTGTACCTCAAATAAAACTCCTTTTGGAGAATCCTGTCAGTATTAATCATTCCCCCTACCTGGTTTACCTCCTGTTTCAGGTACATGCTTTTATTTAGATTTATCTGCAGGCAGAATTACCTAAAAGTCAGAGTTTAAGGTTCATCCCTCATTCATCCCTTGCAGTGACATTTACAGAGCTACAGTAGATATAGAGACTTTCTACCTGCTTATGATAACATAATGTTTTTGAATGTGGTCTTAATTCAGAAAAGGAGGAAATAATTTCATTTTTGTACCCAACAATATTAAAATGTGAATAAAGCCCCTCTTCCTGACATGGCCTGCAAGAAATGCGCTATTGGCTGGAGTTCAAAATACAACCACATGCCACCAAACCTAAATAAATTGTGTTGTAAAACATAAAACAAATTATGTTCTTGTGCTACTATTTTTAAAAGCTGTCTAAATATTTTTTTCCTTTTTGCAACTGAGAACATTCCTCATCCTCTGTCTTCTAAAAAATATTTTCCAAAAGAAGGCAAAAAAATGTAGGAGGAGAAAGACACAACTTAAATCCAAACTCTTTTTGCTTGTATATTTAATATTTGCTACAAAGAAACCGTATATCTTGTAATGGGATTCTCAGGAAAATGTCACTGGAATTTTGGAACTGCTTCCTCCTGACCACTTTTAGAAAGATTTGTTTTACTGGAATAAATCTTGTAGGGACAATTTGTATTAGGATTTAATCAGCACTGTGATGCAGCAAGTATTGATGTGTTTATATCAGGAAGGATTTTTTTCTGCAGGATTCCCACTACAAGAGTTTATTGGGGAAGTGTTAATTCCAGTTACTCTGCAGAGAAATAACAGCCCTGGAAGTGTTCAGGCCAGGTTGGGCTTGGAGCAGGCCTGGTCTGGTGGAAGGTGTCCATGCCCATGGCAGGGGGTGGAACGAGATGAGCCTTAAAGTCCCTTTTAACCTAAAACATTGTGGGATTTTAGGATTTCATTTCCCAGATGGATGAAATGTGTAGGTTGGGCATTAGAAGAGGCAGCTCCTCTCCACTTCTAGCTTTATACCTCAAGTGCAAACCCCTCATCCAGTTCCAGATCCTCACTGGATCTGGTGATCCCTGAGTGTCCTGTACTTCATTATTCCTCAGGTCTCACCCATCCCCTCGCCATCCCAGGCAGCTGAAAGCTGATAGTGCTGCTCCAAGTGTCCCAGGAAACCACAGCCTGTGGCTCTGGGTCCACAGCCCTGTCCTGGCCCCCTGAGCTCCCTCCGTGTCCTCCCTTGCACCAGCTCCTGTGTCTGTTTGACGCTGGATAGAGGGATTGGAGTGCTGGCCCGGGACAGGAGGGCAGGAATACTTGGAGTCATGGCAGCTGCCAGTCAGAGCTGCTTAGGTTTCTGTGGAACTGAAGCTCAGGGGCCCAACTGCAGAAGAGCAGCCTCTTGGAGTTCCTTTCCCACCCTGGGGGCTCTCCTTGCTCCCAGTGCTGCCGTTTTGCTCCGTGGTTTGTCCTGGCACAGCCGAGCCGTGTGTGGAGCCACTAAAGCAAAGGAGCAGCTGGAGGTGGAGCAGGGCCCGGAAACTCTTAAATCAGCTTTGCTGCTGCAGCCAAGGGATTGTGCAACAACCTCCGAGGCTGCAGCTCCATGAAGGCTCCTGGTTGACATCTTAAGGAACAGCCTTGCTCCTGGCCTGAGAGCTCCAGGGTCTGCAGTGGGATAAAGGAATTTCTCGTGCCATTTCAGCTTTATTTCAGCATTTACTCGTCCTTTCTCTTCTTTTTTTTTTCCCCCTTTTTTTTCCTTCCCCCATCAAGTCCAGTTCCCTGAACTGGCCTCATGCTTGGCTGCCTGAACACTGACAAAAGGGAGAGGCTGGGATGAGAGGCAGGATTGCTTTTTTCCATTGTCTACGTGTGCTTTTGTCACATCCTGGTGACAGTTGCTGCAGCCGGAGCACACGGAGCATGTCCAGCTGGATCCTCCTCGTGCCTGAAAGAGCTCCATGGGGTTAATGGCAAAAGGAGAAACAGGGTCCTTGAAACTTCCAACTTCTGCTTCTTGCATCCTGTTAAATCATTTTAAGGGAAGAGCTGCAGATTATCAGGAATGAGGGATGTAGGATTGTGGTCAGACACAGGAGCTGTGCTCCCTTAGCTTGAACATGTTCACAGAATCCCAGAATGGTTTGGGTTGTGAGAGACCTTAAAGCTCATCTCATTCCACCCCCTGCCATGGGCAGGGACACCTTCCACTACCCCAGGTTGCTTCAAGCCCTGTCCAACCTGGCCTGGGACACTTGCAGGGATGGGGCAGCCACAGCTGCTCTGGGCAACCTGTTCTCTCTACTCTCATGTTGTAATTTCTTTAAACAACCAGTGGTGCTGCAATATGCCAGTAGATCTGATATGGGAATTGTTAAATTATTCTCCTTTGCTCCTGAACCATTCCCAAGGGTTGTAATACCCTTTTTGGCACATTTTCCCCTCTTCTTACAGTGGAATAAATGAAACCCTTGCCAACACTTGGGCGATGGTGTGGCAGCAGGACCGGGGCAGAGATTGTCCCTCTGTGCTGGGCACTGGGGAGGCCACACCTCGAGTGCTGTGTCCAGGGAAGGGAACGGAGCTGGGGAAGGGGCTGGAGCACCAGCAGCAGCTGAGGGAGCTGGGGGGACTCAGCCTGGAGGAAAGGAGGCTCAGGGGGGACCTTCTCAGTCTCCTGAGATAGGAGGGGGGAGCCGGGGGGGGGGGGGGGCTCTGCTCCCAGGGAACAAGGGATAGGACAAGAGGAAATGGCCTCAAGCTGTGCCAGGGGAGGTTGAGGTTGGACATCAGGAGGAATTTCTTCTTGGAAAGGGTGGTCAGCCATTGGAAGGGGCTGCCTAAGGAAGTTTGGAGACCCCATCCCTGGAGGTGTTCAGGGAACAACTGGATGTGGCACTCAGTGCTTTGGGCTGGGGGATAAGGTGGGGGATCAGTCACAGGTTGGACTGGATAACCTTGGAGGTCTCTTCCAACATAAATGATTCTGGGATTCTGTGATAAATTACAGGGAAGGCTGGTATTGGGATAGAAAGTCCTGCTGCCACTTACACTTACTGGTGCCCAGAGCTGCTGATGTGCCTCTTTCTACCTTTCATGTTGTTTTTATAGCACTAACCTTTCCTGTGAGAAAGCTGATTGATCAATGAGAATGTGTGATTCTTCAATAGGATCAGGATTTGGTAGTGGAAGTAATAGACAGATTCCTGGGAATGAAGCAGTGAAATTGAAACGCTAATTTCCATAGAATTACTTAAAAAAAAGGCAAGATATTACAGTACGTTGAGAATCTTTAGAACCTGATAAGTCCCACCCTCCCCTGCTTTTGAGGGATTTCAGGAGCCGTTTTGGGGCCGAAGGCGTTGCCGTGGTCTCTGCTGTCCCCTGGCGGCCCCTCAAGGTAACGCAGGTGGTCACTGTACAGTGTCTGATTTAATATTGATTTACGATTAACAGCACACGGTGCACCCAAACTCCCTGTCTGGATGCTGCTGTTATCAACAGTTCATTTTCCTCTTCATTCCCTCTTACTGCACAGGATTTTCCTGGCATTTCTGACCAGTGTTGACAGAGGAGTTGGATTCACAGTGAGAGTTTATTTAGCTGGTCACTGTGATGTTTTCACAATCAAATTTGAAATTGGTGTAAAAACAACTGGTTTGAGGGTATAATAATAATTCAGAACTAATTTTGGAGTCAATTGAGCTAGTTAGGATAGACATCTCTTCCTGCCTATGAGGAAAGGCTGAGAGAATTGGGATTGTCCAGCCTGGAGAAGGCTTTGGGGTGACCTAATTGTGGCCTTCCAGGAACTGAAGGGAGCCTACAAGGAAGGTGGAGAGAGACTATTTACAAGTGTCTGGAGTAACAGGGCAAGGGGCAATGGCTTCAAACTGACAGAGAGTAGATTTAGATGGGATATTGGGAAGGAATTCTTCCCTGTGAGGGTGGTGAGGCCCTGGCACAGGTTGCCCAGAGCAGCTGTGGCTGCCCCATCCCTGGAAGTGTCCAAGGCCAGGTTGGGCGGGGCCTGGAGCAACCTGGGCTAGTGGAAGGTGTCCCTGCCCATGGCAGGGGGTGGAATGAGATGATTTTTAAGGTCCCTTCCAACCCAAACCATTCCATGGCTATGATTCCATGTTCAGTGACCAGTCAGAAGAAAGTTGGTGGGTAAAATAAATACACGTTTTAAGAGGGCTTTGATAAAGAGGGCTTTGATCTGTGTTCTGTGCTGGTCATCTTTCCACTTCAAAGTGAGGAGTTTTCACTTAAACATTTTTCAGCTGCTGTATTTCATCTCTTGAGGGTATTTGGAACTGGTGGCTTGCAGGGTTTTGGGGGGAGCTCTTGATGCTGCTCCCAGGAGTGCTGAGCTTCATCCTGCCAAACTTTCATAAATGTTGCTTTTATTCCCCTCACACTTTGTATGTTTTCTGTAATCCCAAGAACTGCATTCAGTGCTGTGTGATGTTGTAGAGTGCTCCAGTTTTCCTGTTCTCACTGTGCTTTGTGCTCTGGTTTTCTGGATTAGAAAGATTAAGATTCTTTTTCTTTTTTTCCCTTTTATGGGGGGTAAAGTCTGTCCAGTCCAGCCCTTCCAACTCCAGCTCCAGCTCCGACTCCAGCTCTGACTCTGATTTCGAGCCATCTCAGAACCACAGTCAAGGTGTGTTGCAAGAAATAACAATTTGTTAAAACCTCCCTTGCGTAACCTTAAAAGGCTCAAGAGAATTAAATCTGCTTTCTCAGTACTCTCTGTGAGGTTCATACAGTTCCTTGCATGCAGCCATGTGTTGGAGCTGTGATGCTTCAGCAAGAAAAGGCAATAATATCGCAACATAATCATGAACAAGTATTTTTCTTCTTTTGGCAGCTAATTTATGAGTAGGGAGTCCCTGTGGATTTGGTTCTTTCCCTATTGGCTTTGGTTTCTGCCTCGGTTTATAAATGTGTTGCTGCTGCCTGATCTGTAAAGTCACCAGAACAGTTCTCCAACCTCATCTATGTTTTATTAAAAATTATAAATGTGCCATTCATCACTTTGCAAGTGTGGATTAGCTCCTTTCTCAGGTTCCTCCACTGATAACCCAGAGAGATAAACTGTGGCAATAGTAGCTGTTCTAACTGTAGCAAAAGCCCTGTTGCTACAAATACTGTCTCAAGTGGCATTTAAATCAGCCCCAAACACATGAAAAAATGTGTCCTTTTGTTTTCATTTGGGAAGGGAGTGGGAGGATTTGGGGGGAGGGAGTTGTAAAGTTTGTCAGCTCTGCTTTAGCTTCAAGCCTGGGACAGGGTGTCCTTCACCAACAGCTTTGTGCAAAGCGATAAAACCAGTGACATCTCACTGGGAAATCCGGGATGTATCTCAGTAATAATCCCAGTTTGGAGCTGGGATGGAGTTGCTACACATGTCCTGGTGCTGAATTCCTGTGTCCCCTGTGCCCCCAGGCCCCCTGCGCTCCATGGTGGAGGATCTGCAGTCGGAGGAGTCGGATGATGATGACAGTTCCTCTGGGGAGGAGGCAGCAGTCAAAGCAAACCCAGTCAGCCGGGATTCCAGGTGGTAACAAATCCGGAAGAAAGATGTTTATTTGGCTTTTTGCCCCTTAGTGTTTGGTATTTTTGGGTGCCCTCCATTTAGAGAGAGGAATCAAAGGATGGAGCTGTGTGTGAGAGGGGAGGGAGGGCAGATGTGTGGTCACTTAGCACGGGGTGGGGACACAGGGCTGGTGAGACCAGAGTGGGGTGAGGAGCTCAAAGAGAGGAAGGACTGGGAAGTGCTGGGCTGGGCTGGCAGCTGTTAGTGAGTGAGCCCCTTCAAACACTCACCTCATTGTCACCCTCAGATCTCTGCTGAGCTGAATGGAGTGTGACACCTTTGATCTGCAGGGATTCCACAAGTGTGTGCTTCTCTAGCTGCTGGTGACAGACACAGCAGAAGAGTCAGTCTGTGCCCACCATGTGCACTGACAGTTCTGTTCCCCTCCTCTGGGACTCAGCTACAGCTGTTTCCTGCTTCAGTCCCTGCACATAGTTGAATTTCATCCTTCTCCCCTCAGGAAATGCTGTTATAGCCAAAACCCAGAGTCTCAGGCTGAATGTTTTAACCCAAATGCTTGACCCACATAGCAGCTGCAGATTTCAAGTGATGCTGGTGTTCACCAAAACAAATATCCGCTATTGCACTTTGTCATCATCAACTAAACAGGAATGGAGAGACTTGGGAGGGTGTTTTTTTAGACAGTTTTCCAAGCTCATCACAGGTAGGATACCTGCCATGGTACATCTGTGGGGCCACAAGAAGAATGAGAATAAATAGGAAATCTCAAAGGTCACACCAGCAACACTAAGAGCATTTTTTGTGCTCAGTGTTGCTGAGCCTCCTGTGCAGGTACTCGGTGGTCTTGGGATGAATTCCTGAAAGGAACAGTTGCTGCTTGTGAAAATCAAGTGGTGCTGAATTGTTCTAGGGAATGTGTGTATGACAGAGTTGAACTAACTGTTGGCTGTAATGTAACTAAAACTCCCTGCTTTGCCTGCCCAGGGAATGGGAGATGACATCAGCTGGGAAGACTGGGATTCTTGGAATCACAGACTGACCAATTCTCCCAAAATCTGTGATAAAGTAGAGAATAATAAAGAATGATAATAAGAGAATGCTAAAGAAGCTCTGTGGGGTTCAGGTGGCAGTTGGGTGAGGTTCCTGTTCCCTGGGGATGCTCATTCTCTGCTGGTGGTTTTCCAGACTGAGCCTCAGTGACAGTGACAGCGACAACAGCGCCGACTCCTGCCCGCCCAGCCGAGAGCCGCCCCCCGGGCAGAAGCTGCCCCCAGCAAACAACAAGGTGTGACATCCTATGACATTCCCCCTCCCCACACAGCCCTGCTTTCCACCTGCCTGCTTCCTGCACTGTTAGTTATCTCTTGAACCAAAGTTTCCCTGTTTCACTGTGCTCCTCAGACAGGTCATTTCTCCCTGTTCAGTGCTCTGTGCCCAAGCCATGACACCACCCTGGTGTCTGAGCTGATTTTGGTCCCTAATGTTGGGGTTTTTTTTACCCTCAGGCATCTGGAAGGAAAAGCCCAGAGTCTTGTAACAAGACAGAGAAGATCCTGAAGAAGGGAACGTATGACAAGGTGCGTCATGTGGAGAGGGACCTTATTGCATAGGGACTTTCCACATGTAGTAACAGGACAAGGGGGAATGGCCTTAAGCTGCAGGGGGGCAGGTTTAGATTGGATATTGGGAAGAAATTCTTCCCTGGGAGGGTGGGGAGGCCCTGGCACAGGTTACCCAGAGAAACTGTGGCTGCCCCATCCCTGGAAGTGCCCAAGGCCAGGTTGGAGCAACCTGGGCTAGGGGAAGGTGTCCCTGCCCATGGCAGGGGGTGGGAATGGGAAGAGCTTTAAGGTCCCTCCCAACCCAAACCATTCTATGATTCTCTGATTCTGTGAATTAAATGAGTTCAGTTTTGCTGATACAGACCTATTGTTGGCTGCCTAAATAAAATTAAAATTAAAAAAAAGACAAACCAAACCAGTCTTATATTAAAACAATGAACATGTTGAGCATATAAACAATCCTGCGTTTCCCACTGTAGGGAAAAATTTGGAATAGGAACATTCCTGAAAGGGCCTCAGGTTCCTCTGATCCTCACTAGGGAAGTCCCTTGGGCAGCCTTCAAACACCCCATGTGTGTCACTGTTTCTGTTCCTGCACAGGCCTACACAGATGAGCTGGTGGAGCTCCACAGGCGACTCATGGCACTCCGGGAGCGCAACGTGCTACAGCAGGTACAGATCCCTGACACCTGCTGTTCCCTGGGAATCTGTGTGTCCAAGAGTCTCAGCCAGACCCCTGGGATGCTTGACCCTTCCTGAGAGGGTCTGCTTTGCTTTGAAAGCAGAGATATGGAGGAAAAAATATAAAAATCAGCTGTGGATGTGATGCTTTTGTTGGAAAAGATACAGGAGTGTGATGTGGGCATCTTCCCTCTCCATCCTGGCAGTGGTCCCAGAACTGGGAACTCCTGGTCTGACTGACAGCTTAATCTGACTGACAGCTTCCTCCTGAGGGGAGGCGGAGGGGCAGGCACTGAACTCTGCTCTGGGACCAGGGAGAAGACCCCAGGGAAGGGCTGGAGCTGTGCCAGGGGGGTTGGGATGGATCTCAGGGAAAGGTTCTTCCCCCAGAGGGTGCTGGGGCACTGCCCAGGCTCCCCAGGGCAGTGGGCACGGCCCCAAGGCTGCCAGAGCTCCAGGAGCGTTTGGACAACGCTCTGAGGGACAGGGTGGGATTGTTGGGGTGTCCTGGGCAGGGCCAGGAGTTGGACTGGATGGTCCTTGGGGGTCCCTTCCAGCTCAGGATATTCCAGGATTCTGTGGTTAAAAGGAAGGAAACATGCCCACATCACTGTCCAGACTGAGCTAGTCAGGCATGCAGGAGGAGCTATTTTGCTTTTTTGGGAGAGGATTCCCTTCCTGTTGTGAGACATCCTCATCTCCAAGGCTCTCCCAAAGGGATGGGAGAGGACTGGGTGGGTTCTGCATACCTGCTGTCTCTGCTGTGCCTACCCCTGTTGAGGTCTCTGTACATCCTTCCTGTCCCCTTTCCTGCCCAGATTGTGAATCTCATTGAGGAAACCGGGCATTTCAACGTCACCAACACAACCTTTGACTTTGACCTCTTCTCCCTGGATGAGACGACCGTCCGCAAGCTGCAGAGCTACCTGGAGGCGGTGGCCACATGACGCTTGGCCTGAGGGAAGCAGGCTGCTCTGAAACCAGAAACCCCCTTCATTGGTACCAGGAAAACCCATGGAACTAGGCCTTCTTATCCTCCTGCCTCCCCCGAAGCACTGCCTTAGAGAACAGCCATGCTCTAGGAACGCTCAGCCAGCTGCACTTTCTCGTAGGCTTCAAACCAGCGCCCGTCTTGCTGAGTCTGCCCTCCCTGGCTCCGTGTGGAGGCTGGGCCAGGCCCCAGGCAGAGCAGACGAGCTGCACTTCGCTGCACAAACCTTTTTTGGTTTTTACTTCAAGCAACTCGTGTTTCAAGAGCACATTTTCAGGCGTCTCTGAGATCCGAGGAAGTGTGGACGATGTTTTTTCCGTCACCAAACCTTGGGAGCAGCCCCCGCGTGTCCTGATCCCTGCAGCTCTGCCAAGCCAGATTGGCTTTTACAAAGAGACTGGTGACAGAGGAGGCTTCCCAGGATCCTGCTGGTCTGCTGCAGAGGAGAGGGGACGGATTCCAGTTGGGAATTGCCAGTGGTCCTGCCGCGGTTCGGTCCAGAGCAGTGCTGTAACTCGGCTCCCAGTGGGAACAGGACCCCAGCTCCCTGTGCTCGCTGAAGAGGCCTCTGGAATCTGCTGTCTCCCACTGGGGTTTGGAGATGTCTTGTTTGTTGATCTGAGCTCCTAAACAAAGTCCCACTCCTTTCAGTCTGCTTTAACTGTAATAGGACTCCAAAACTGTAAGCTGTATATTTTATATATATATATTATATATATGTATGTACTGTATGTATAAGAAGGGCCTAGTTGGGTCTTATGATCTTAAGGGTGTGTTTTTCTGTTGTTTTTTTTAATGGCTCTGGCAGGGGAAGGCGCTTAATAAGATTTGACTCGTTTGTTAATTGCCTCTTGTGGACAATTTGTAGTGTAAGGAAGCTGGACAGCAACCTCCACACATCCCACGCTCCAGAAGGGGCTCACCCCTCGTCTTTTCCATTTGTCAGTGTTGGATAACTTTGCCAAAACACGTGATTTGGTTTTGTCCTGTGTTCTCAAAGAGGAATCTCCTACAGTGGCCCCTATAGTAGTGGCTGTACTTTGGGAAAACCAAAACAAGGGAGAACTTGGTCTTTGGACACACCTGGGAGATGCTGATGTGAAAACACAAGTGGAGTCAGGTTTGTTTCCTCCTCCCTCTGCCGCCCCTCTGCCTGTGCAGGAAAAGGCAGGAAACATAAACACTAATCCAGAACCTCTCCTATATTTCTAGTCAGACTAGGATTGACCTCCAAGTGTTGTCCAGGTGGATGTGCAGGAATCCCGCTGCCTCCATCAAAGCTGTGTTACGCTCCTGGTCCCTAAAATTCAGTATTTTCCAAGGAATTGCTCGTTTTTCCTAGGGGGGGTGTAAAGCTTTTGCCAAATGGGGCACAGGCAGTGAGGGAGCAGCACTGCTCCCGGGGGGGTTGCACCGCTCCAGGTTTGCTGTCCCTTGTTTTGGGTTACCCCCTTTCTTTATCATGGAAATGTTGCAACTAATCAACTGAAGTGGCAATATGATGATAAGCTTGTTTGAGTTGGGTCATGTTGACCTGATTCCCATTAATTTTGTTGTTGTACCACCTTTCATGTGTCTTGTGTGTGTGTATACACACACGCGCACACACACACACGTATATATGTAAAAATTCAAGCTCGTGCCAGGTGCAAACCCTGTCACACCAGTGATCTCAGCTGTTTTCTTTCTTGATGGACGATGCCAAGCCTGGAGAGGAACCCTGAGGAGGTGGAGGACAGTGGGAAGAGCAGGAGCTGGGATGTGCCGCGGTGGAGGACGGTGACCACAGACCCTGTGGTGGGTAGTTGCGAACCCCTCGTGTCTCTGTTGGATCTGTGGCACAGAGGAGGCAGCTTTGTGCCCCACACTGGGCTCCCTGGCACCGCCATGGGGGGGGTTGGTGGCACTGTCCTGTCCCCAAAGCAGAGGAGCAGCCGTGGTGGCTTCAGATCTCTTTGCTGACTGTCTCCAGCCGGGTTTGTCGCTCCCACAGCTCCGTGTGGCAGCACTTCTGGGACTATCCACAGCCTCCAGGGGTGCCCCATGGGGGACCAGAGGTGCCACCTCCCTCCTGCCCCTTCTCAGTCACCATCCACATGGTCACCCAGCTCCCAGCCAGTCCAAGAACACATGTGGGAGCGTGTTCCTGAATGTGGCTGGAAGCGCCCAGGGCTCGCGGCCGCGGCATCGTCCTGTCCTGGAAGTGACTTTCTTGGTGAAGTCTGCTGAGCGTTGAGAGGGGTTTGGTTTGGTTTTTATAAGAAGTATTTTACACGTGGATTTTTTTAGACTGTTTATAATTCCCCCTGAGAACCCGAGGTAGGATTGTCCCCCAGCAATAGTTCTTCTCCATTGTGTGCACATGCTGATTTGTTACTAAAAAGGTTTCTTGCAAGTACTTAGTTGTTCTACAGAGTTGTTGTTTTTTGGGGTATGTAGTAGCGTCGGGGAGCACAGGAGGAATGACTCTACAAGCAAAGGATGGTCAGATTTGGGCCTCATCTTGTGTCCCCTTGGAGTTCCCTGTGTAGATTCCCTCTAGGCTGGCTGAACGCTGTGCTGAACAGGCCGTGTACAGGTTTTTGTGGATAAAGTGTTTGTTCTTGTGTCACTCTTGAGAGCATGGATGGATTATTGTACTCTAGGAAGGAGGGGGCAGTGCTGCTGCAGGCATTGCTTCAGGTCCTCGAGGATGTGTCGTAGCTTGCGTTGTTAAAAAAAGGAAAAAAAAAAAAAAAGAAAATCCCAAATTGACTTGTAGCCATAATGGTTTTTCCAAGGAAAACGGGCAGGACTCTGTTACTTTTCCATGTCCTTCATCATGTTGCTGGTGGCACAAACAGGTGCTGCTCAGCCCTGAAGGCTTCCAGAGTTGCTGTGAGTTGAATCGTGTTGGAGGTGAGATCAGGACTCGGCTCCTCGTCGTCCTTGGCCGTCGGATCCAAGGGCAGAAGAGGGGCCAGGAGCGTTGTCCTGGGTCCTGGTCTGCTGTGTATTAAGCCTTGAGGCTTTCATTACTGACATGTATTAAAAAAGGAAAAATTAAAAAAAGAGGAAAGGAAGGAAGGCTGGAGCCAAAGGCCAGCCAGAGTCTGGGAGCCGTAGGTAGCGAGGCCGGCTGCGGTCAGGCTGAATCCATGGAAGTGCAATGACTCTGCCACCCGTGGGATCGCTGGGTGCAGTGGGAGCATCAGAACCAGCCAAGCAATTGATGCAACAATCCAGAAGCAGTTTTTTTTGTCAGATCTTGGAATGTGTTTGATGGTGAGAGAGGTTGGAACGTCCCTTCTGGAGGTGCCCGAGTCGCTCTGGTTCCACGGATTTTCCATTGGGGATGCACTGGAGCCCCTTGTGCTCAGATGAGGCTCCTTTCTGCTCGCCCAGGGGTGATGCTGTGGCCACTCCTGGTGCACCTTGGACAGGTATTAGTGCTCAAAAGGATCCAAATCACTCGGTGTGGCTTCCCTGGGGCGTGAAATAGCCATCAAAAACTGACAAGATGAGTTTGCACTCCTAAAGAAAAAATGTAAGTACTTCAACTTCTAGAGAATTTTTAATTGTATTTCTGCCTAGAGCCGAGGTATTAAATACCTCGTCACTTGAGGATTTTAAAAGTTGTGTTGGGACATGAGTTCTTCACTCAGCTGTAAGAAATGCAGCTGGCCCAAGACTAACTGCAAGATTTAAAAAACAAATAAAAAAAAAAAACAAAACTCATGTTTGTAATACGTTACAGGATTGTTGGTCCTGAATTTTAAACTTTTTGTTAAATTTGTGGAACTATGGAGGAATTTTCTAGAAAAAGTGAAATAAAGTAAGATGGAAAAGTAAAACTTCAAGTGGTTTTTGGTTGTTGTGTTGCTTCTCCAGGGATGACACTGTGGCACCTCCTCATGGAAAATGTTTCCCATTAGGAGCACCAAAGCTGGTGATGCCATTGGCTGCAGGGGGAGGTGAAAAGCTAAGGAAAAGGGAATCATTTTAAGGACAGGATGGTGGGGAAAGGCTCTGATGTCCCTTAATACATTGGACTTTAAGTTGGTTCATGTGAGGGGAAACAGGCCAGAGCAGGAGAGGTGCAAGTGCTCCCCCTCTGCTCCCAGAACGTGCCAGACCTTGTCCCAAGCCCAAACCAGGGCCCAGAGCTCTGGCACAGGTTCCTCAGCACAGGGTAAGGGTGAGACCTTCCATCCCCTTCCCCCTGTGGGAATGTCACACAGCCCTGGGCTGCCCCAGAAGCAGCTCCCCCCTCAAGGATTCCCGAGGCAGCAGCCCCGGCTGCACCTCTCCCAGCCCTTGGCTGCTCCCGGCCCTGTGCCACAGGCCCTCAGATCCATGTTTTCCAGGAATGACCGAGGAGTCAGGAGACACAAACTGCAGAGTTTGTTTATTACACATTCCTCTTCCAAACACTGGAGACACGGCAAATCCAACAGCTCCGAACACAGGTTTGCAGGGGATGAGCAGCAGGTGCATTTCCCACCCTTCCCCAGGGGCAGGGGGAATTTCCCTGAGCCCAGATCAGAGACACTTTGGGGTTTAACCCACCCCGAGGTGCCCAGGTCCAGTCCATGCCCAGCCCAGCCAGGGTGTGAACCAGCACAGAGCTGCTCTGATCTGCACCCACCACCTCCCACTGCTCCTCCTTTTCCATGGGAAGAGTTGCTTGGAATCAGGGCTGGGCTGTCCCGCTTGAGTCCAGGTGAGAATTTCTGGTTTGAAATAACCCATTTTACAGACAATCCTTCATTTGCTGTCGGGATTCCCAGGCCCTCCTGGGCATGGGGCAGCCTGGAATAAGCCCTGCAGAACCACTTAGACCCATGAGGAGCTGCTGGTTACAGGTACTTCCCTCCAGCTTTGCAGGTCCCTAAACCTGTGTCCTGCAGCCAATGAATCCCATGGGAAGGACCTTCACAGCTGCTGGGATGGCTGATCACAGACCTTCAGAAGAACCACTGGGTTCCCAGCACTGTGTCCTCTCTCCAAGCACAGGTACAAACCCTCAGTCCACCCACCCCCCACTCTGGAGTTTCCCATTTCACGACATTTCTAGATTGTAAGATACAGACAGATTTCACACATTGTACACAAGCCTTATAAATAGTCCCTGGACTAAATCACTTCCAGAACATCAGCCATAGATTCTACTTCAATAGTACGATTTATGGCTTCACTATAACTCAAAAAAAAGATTAAAAAAAATCAAAATATTGCACAGACAAACCCAGTCCATGAGAGGTTCCAACTCCACTGGTGTGTGCAGTCACCCAGCATTTGCCACTTCAGACAGGGTTTGTGGGGAAGGAGATTTAAAATGACATGGATGCCACCAGCATGCAGGGAAACGTGCAGAGGGAGGGAGCAAGGACACTGCTGGGAAACGGAATCTGCCTTTCTCCCTCAGCAGGGAAAGTGCAGCTCCTGATTTACAGCTCCTGCTTTACATTCAGCTCAGGAAGAAAAAAAAAGAAAACTTTGGTTAAAACATAACGTCACGTGGATTGAAGGTAAACATTGTATTGCCCTTATAAAAATGGGAATAAAAAATAACAGAGCTGAGGTATTTGGGATATCTCAGCAGGGAACACAGACACAGGAGAACACGGGCGTGACCACGCTCACCACACTGCAGGGCAGGGCCAGAACATGGACAGCAAAGCGAGCCAAGGGGCTGCATGATGGCAGAGCCTCTTTATTCCAACAGAATCCAGGGAATCCTTCCTGGGGAGCTGGGGGATCTCCTCTGGGTTACTGCTGGGCCGAGGTCTCCCCATTGGGAGTGTCCACATCTGCATAAAACTGAGCAATCTGGGCTTTGTATTTCTGTGCCACCACCGGCCTCTTGAGCTTCATGGTTGGGCCTGTGGAGAATCAGCACAAGTTTTAATGGAGAGGGAGCCACAGGGAGCACAAATCTTCACTAGGGTGAAGCAAGTCTGGAGGGAGAGATGAAACACAGGAACAGTGACCAGTTCTAAAGTTGTCTTTGGGATTAATGGAATCTCCCTCCCTCCTTCCCTGTGAACAGGAGCAGCACAGCATCACCCAGAGGGTGCTGGGGCACTGCCCAGGCTCCCCAGGGCAGTGGGCACGGCCCCAAGGCTGCCAGAGCTCCAGGAGCGTTTGGACAACGCTCTGAGGGACAGGGTGGGATTGTTGGGGTGTCCTGGGCAGGGCCAGGGGTTGGACTGATGATCCCTGGGGGTCCCTTCCAGCTCAGGACATTCTGTGATTCCATCATCCTGCAAGAGGCATCTCAGAACAAGGGTGAGCACAGCTCAGCTCGGTGCTGCTGGCCAAAGGTGGGAATTCATCCCAACTCATCCCACTCCCCAAACTGCAACAGGGAAAAGCCTCGGCGAGGAAAGGCCATGGGGAGCTCTGTTTTGGGGGTCCTGGTTATGCTGGTGTTCAACAGCCAAGGAAGGGGTGCATGGGGGACCCCAGATGCCTCACCCATCACTCACCAAGCTCTCCACCAAAGAGGGAAAAGTCCTTCTCCAGAAGGACCCACTTCTGGACTTTCTGGGCATTGGAGGTGGCTCCCTCATTGACCGCTGTGATGCCTTTCTGGATGGCGGCGTAGATGGCCTTGTCTTTGCTGCTGATGATTTCAGAGACCTTTGTGGCCTTGCTGCCCAGCTTCTGACAGTATTCCAGAGCCTCTGGAGTGAGCTCATCCCCCGGTTCACCCGTCTCTGCATCCACCTTGCACTGCAGGACGAGCCACAACAGGTCCCTTTGTATTGCTGAGCACCAAAACGCTGCCCTGGGATGGTGCCAGGGCTCCCTTCCCACCCTGCTCCCAGCTGTCACTCCACCAGCCCCTGCAGCTTCATCCAAACCCTGGCAGCCAATGGACACTTGGGACAGAACATGGATAAACCCCCTCAGAGCTCTGCCTGCTCAACAGCCACCTTGATGCCAAGGACCAAACAGAGCTCATCTGCCAAATCCCTCCTGTGCTATCTAAAGTTAATCACTTTTTTTCCAGACCTTTTCTGGGCCACAGTTCACTTCCCTGCATCCCACAGTCAACACACACAGCACAGAACCATGACAAGCACAGCAGGGCCACCTCCAGGGCCTGGCTCGGGTCTCCTACCCCAGGTGAGGCTGTTGATCTTAAGTCTCACTAATTCCCATTGTCCTGCAAAGCCTGTGTGGGACCACTGTGGATGTGTCCTGGTGGAGTTTGAAGCCAGAGTCTGACAAAGCAATCCCTGACAGCTGCTTATTGCCCAGCTGAGAAACTAAACCGGGTGAGAAAGGCAGAAGGGTTCCTTTTTCAGCCTCACTTTTAGGTCTTTTCCTTCTCTTTCTTCCTGCCCTTTGTGGCACAGAAAGAGTTGCCCTGAACAGGGTGGTCTGAGCAAGTGACAACTTTGCTGTGGTTACAGCTGCTCTTTGCAGCTCAGCTACAACAAACTGTGCCCCACGGAGCCTCCTGTCTCCACAAGACACCAAAAATGTGCAACAATCCTCTTCCTCCCTGGAACTGATCACATTCAGTGACAGAGGTGGGTTCCCTCCCTGTTTTCCATTACCTTTAGTGTCAGAAGCATTGACAGGAATTTGGCTTTGTCCCCAACCAACATGGCATTGCTGATGATGGGAACAGCATTTTTGACGGCATCCTCGATCGGAACGGGAGGAACGTTCTCCCCTCCCGCAGTGATGATGAGCTCTGGAAAACAGTCAAGTCTTGGTTAATGCCTGGAGTTTCTCCCCTTCCCACAATCTGAAACAACTCAACAGCTCCTTCATGTCTCCTGGATCAAACAGTGCGTGGAGAAGGCGGCACACCAGGACTGGGAAAGTAGTAGAGTCACCATCCCTGGAAGTGTTCAAAAAAATGTGTGGATGTGGCACCTGGGGACAGGGGTTAGTGGTGGCCTGGGCAGTGCTGAGGGAACGGTTGAACTTGATAATCTTAGAAGGCTTTTCCAGTCTTAATGATCACTCCATGTCTCCAGCCAGGCCAGGAGAGAGGAGCTGGAGCCATGAACACACACACAGCCCTGTGAGAGCTGCCTCAGTGCTCTGGAGGTGTTTGCAGTCTGGGAACACAGGATGAGCCCTCAGCACCTTGGCACACACACCTTGGACTCTCAGGCACCTAAGCTGGCACCCAAATTGTCAGAAACTGAAGATTTGCTGAGGTTGGAGGTCTTGGCTTTGTTTGGGGTTGCTCAAAGCAGTGTCCCAAGAACCTCGTTGCTAAAAGGCACTTGCACAACAGGGTTAAGCTGTTGTTTTCCTTGGAAGTCACCCAGCAAAGCTCCTGAAACTGGTGGCACAACAAGCCCACAAAGCATTAAGTGCTGCTGCCGAAATCCAAGGGTTTCTCCCCCATTCTGTGACACATCCTGGTTCCAGGGGCCACCCCTCTCCTCCCATCACACACTGTGTCACACTCTCAGAGCCAGGACATGCTGCAGCCACATTCATGTGGAAACTCCAGAAGGAGAAGGATTGAAATAATCTGTGCAAGCCACAACCACACAAGCAGCAGAGCCTCCCCTGCACCAGGGGAGGTTTAGGTTGGATACTGGGAAAATGTCTTCACTGAAAGGGTGTCCAGCATTGGCACAGCTGTCCGGGGCAGTGGTGGAGTTACCACCCTTGGAGGGATTTAAGAGATGTGTAGATGTGGGGACACGGGTTAGTGGTGGCCTTGGCAGTGCTGGGGGAATGGCTGGGTGCCATGATGTCTTTCCCAGCTTAATAACTCTGTGATTCCATAGTGCTGCACAACATCAAGACAACCAAGTCAGGGGATGAGTTACCTTTAATTCTGCCTGTGATGTAGAGGAATCCATCTTTGTCATGCTTG